AGCCAAACCACAGCCCATCTAAGTAGACCACGCGTCCACAAGGCACATCCACGTCGGTGTAGCGATACACCGCCAGGCGGCGCTGCGTTTGAGTCCGCACGCGCAGACAGCCCGTCGCCGGACAGTATGTTTCGACGGCGGCGACCATCCCATTGACGTAGTGATTCTCTTTGTCTCGGTTACTTGTCAGCACCACGCGCATGCCGACATAGAGCGGGACCTTGCTGGGTTGCGGCGGGCGATCGGAGCGGAGGCGACCATGAGCGTCGTAGTTGTCCTCGTTGTCTTCGTAAGTGCCGGGAATCTCTCCCAGAAGTCTTTGTTTCCGGTTGGTGAACAGAACCTGAACAGCCAGGCCGTTGATGATCGCGGCACCAGACTTGCTGCAGGTGACGAAGGTCGTCTTGTTGTCGGTGCGCCGCAGGATGTCGTCGATGTCGAGGCTAGTAGGCTCGTTGTGGCCGCTCCATGCCTTGTGTTTGTAGCACAAACGGTTCACGAAGAGCTGGCCCTCCTTTCCAAGCGGCTTGTGGTAGCGCAAGAAGTCGAGCTTGGCCTGCAGCTGGCGGCACTTACAACGCCGGACCTCCGTCAGCGTGATGGTGCGAGCAAAGCGCCACTGCGGGTGGTCGCTGGCGCGGTCCGGCTGAATGCTCGGAAGCTGCCAGTCGTCGCCGAGGAGCAGTAGGAGCAGCCGGCGACCCGCAGCGAGGAACATGGCATGCAAGCGGCCGAACTCCTCGGCGCTGAGCTGCAAAGCTTCGTCGATTACGACCACGTCGTATTCGGTCATGAGTGCGATCGTCTCCGATAGCGGTCGGTAGAAAAGGAAAGCCCCGGCGCAGGTGTCCACGTGGATGTCCGGGTGCCTCTGGCGCATACGACAGGCGAGCTGGCCCGTGGGCAGGGCATAGAGCACTCGACAGCCGCGCTGGACCGCAACCCGCACGAGGTGATCGGCCACAAAGGTCTTGCCGGTGCCCGGTCCGCCCATGCACACGAGAATGCTGTTGCGCAGCTCCAGCTGCTGCGACGCCTCGTCGACGTCTTCCTCCGAGCGGGCATCCTTCAGCGCTTGCAGCAGGTCGAGGGTCTCTAGCGCACGCCGCTCGAGTTCGTGCTGCTGCCGATTGAAGGTTGGCTGCACGAAGGCGCCGGGGTCAGCCGCGGCAGGCAGCGCGATCTGCGGCACCTCATCCTCCAGCGTGATTTCTCCACACAAATACTGATGCACGATCGCCCGCTGCGCATCCAGCAATGCCAGGAAGTTGGCGATGGCGGCGTCTCGATGCGCGGCCAGCTGCAGATCTTCCACCACGCGGGCTCGATTGGCCCAGTACGCTGGAGCGGCACGGTCCGCGCAGGCGAAGAGCAAGTAGCGCTCGGGTACCTTGGCCGAGATCTCGGGATCGAGAAAGTCTTCGGCAGCACGAAAAGGCAGGTTCAGCATGAGCCACTGGCCAAAGTATTTGTCGTTGAAGATCCCGACCGTTTCCGCCGCTATGATCTTTTCCCCGAAGGAGGGGTAGA